CAAGTGGTTTGAGTGGAATTCGTTTGAGCCTGTCCTTTTCACTCAAGGAACCTCAGGGTACGGGTCATCGGCGGCTCGCAACGCCAACAAGGACCTCTAACAAGCCCAGGCGTCGCTTTGTTATAAACTTACATGAACTGAGCAATTGGGGCTTTGAAGCGCACTGCGTGCCTTGTGCCAGAAGAAAATGAAAAGAAATCGTTGGTAAGCCTCTTGGTAAGCCCGAACCTCTGTGAAATGGTGAAGTGATGTGAAATGGTGGGTTCACCATCTCCAAATCTTCAGCTTCCGCCAGCATCTTCAGCGCCTTCCCATGGGCAGCTGGACCTTCTCGCTCCCGCTACTCGGAGAGTTTCCGTTCTGCGCGAAGGAGAGGCAGCGAATCCTGGCAGTGCTTTCACCACGGGAAAGGACTGAGGATGCATGCAGAACTGGAACAACTCAGTTGATGCAGGACAGTGGGGGAACTGGTTTGGAAGACTGGGTTGCTTCTAATGAAATACTTTGTCTAGCTACTGAGTTGCTGCATTGTTCTGGTTGACAACTGCAATGTATGCGGTGATCGATGAGGACTTTAATGTCGTAGCTCAAGGACAAGTGAATCATAGGAACTTGGCGTCATCATACACTCCAGAATTGTGGCATTCATTGTTGCATGCTTGAAGGCATCTCAGCCACTGGATACCTTTTCGGACTCACTTTCTGTCGTTCAACCGTCTCATGAATTGTTGAAACAGGGGTCATTGGTGACGTTGCGCATGTGGTTTCCATGAGGAAGACCGTTTCCGACATGCTGTTGAGGATTCATCGGGTTCCTGCTCACAAGCTTGAATCCTGACATTTCCTGACAGTTTGCTCGCGGAGGATCTGGCCCTATTGCACAATCCAACATGTGAACACATCACGCATAAGAGACGTGCAGATTTGGTTGCAAAAGAGCTCGCGCATCAAATGGCACCAGTGGAACAGTTGATGTGTTACAGGCACATCATCAGCAAACAATGCGATCAAACATCATCAGCAATGGCTCGTGGAATTGCGTGAACTTCGAGACACCAGGTCTGTGCAGCAGGAGTCTGGCCTCAACGAGATCAGCCGTTTTCTGCAGTGTCAGTTGCGGCTGATTTTCGCAGTGGTTGCAGGGATTGAGACCATCCATGTTTCCGTGGAAGCCGAAGGTACCCAACATTCCATGCCCAGCCGGTGGTCGAGTTCTGAATTAGACTGGAAGACTTTGCACGCTATATCTTTACAAATCACGTCGCTGGATGACAGATTCACAGCACAGGGAGACTTTCAGCTTCAAATGTCTTCGAGCGTGCATGCAAAGCCTGCACATTCCTGCATCAAAATGACATGTGATGCAAATCCCAGCTCTCTGCTCCACTCACCCCAACAACCGCGCTTAAGGGGAGAGTCATGCCGACCAACGATGGGTGTCGCTCGGTTGACGGAAACCGTTTCACCCAGACGCTCGCACGAGGAGAAGACACGACAGGTCGTGTTTGGCTCGCATCGTCGACGCACGACGCAAATGTACGAAGGACGCGCTGTCTTCGCACATCCACTCGATGGTGGTTCGTGTCTTTTGTGGTTCGACCGCATGTTTCAATCGGGGATTTTGGTGCTGCTTCACCCTGTGGTGTTTTGTAAAAACACGCTCCATCCACGTTTCACGATGCGCTTCAGCGCGAGGGGCGGGTAAAAGCATGGTAATCCATGTTCTCCTTCTCCTCCTTCGCCCGGGTGGCGCCGCACGCGTCTCGCCCGTCCTTTTCCGCCCTCGCTCGCGGGTTTCGCACCTGGACTTGCGCACGGCCACAGCGGCACTGAGGAAACCCGCTGCACCGAAGAAGTTGTGCGAGAGGTCGGCGCCTCGGTCTACTGGACGACCGGAAAACGGGAAACGTCGTGGCCACGAAAAAAGCGGTAGGGGCGTGTTTGAATGTTGCCAACTTCTGGGTTCCTGTTATCTGATCTTAACTTGAGCTAGGTCATGAATTTCTTCCCCTCTTAGTTCTGCGGATGAGTCAAACGTCTTCCAACAGCTGGCCCCCGGGCGTTGGAGCCCCACGAAGCCCGCCTGTGCCGATCCGAAGCGACCTGGATGGACCTGGGGGTGGGAACTACATTCTGACTCACAGTAGCTTTTAGTGGATTGAGAGTAGATGGCAAGGCAGGAGGGTCACTTGCCCGTTTTTTACAGCCACCAAACTTGGGATTGTGCCATCTACCGTAGATGGCACAATCCCAAGTTTGGTGGCTGTAAAAAGGAGCCCCCATCTATAGAAGACATGTAGGACATGCCAGTGCCATCAAACCTCTGAAACCACTACAAACATGAGTTCCATGAGGTACTGGGGATCTACTGAGTACTGCCGAACATTGACGTCTAAAAAAACTCACACTCTGACGAACACATCACATGGGAACATAACCTGCAGGAACTGGAGGAACGCAGAGCAACAAAAACTTGAGAGAGGAGGGGGTGAACGAAAGGTAGCAGGTAATCACAAGTATCCCTGGTAGAAGTCCATGACGGCGTCAAAGGTGGATGGATGTCACCCAAACCGCGACGGCGCAGGGGGGGGAATGATCCAGGGCCCCCCCCGTCGAACAGAATCATGTCTTACAGGACCAAATTCAATGCAAATTAATCACCAAATCCTGATTGTAATACATGTTTGCTAAAGCAAGGAGAACTCAGGTACTATGTCTGGCTCCTTTCGTGATATAGAAACATGTCTGGCTACTCGTCTGGCTATAGACACACATGGTGGAACTAGAGTGGGCCTTGCAGATATGTAGATGAAGGACAAGAACATATGGCCTACTATGTATGGGGATGTGGAAGGCGAGAAGCTCCTCTACTAAGAACATGATTTTCCCCGTGTTCATGTCCAAGTGTGGGTGCATTCCTGAAATGCATGGATTCAACAAGCCAGGCGTGTCGAGTGCAATTCTCCTTGGTCAGCAGGCCATGTAGCACACATGGAAGGGTGGGATATATCATGTATGATCATATTGTCAAGTGCTACCTTGTCTTGAGTCGTATGTAAATCCTGCCTAAACCAGTGTTCGATGTGCTTTGTGCCTAGGAAACCTGCCCCGGCTACATGAAAAGTAAACCATCAGTAGGGCAGCAGCGGACCTCTAGCACTCGTCCGACCTCCATGAAAGATGCTTCTTTTCCCTTCAAAGTCCCTGACGATGCGCAGGTCAGATATGAATTGCTTCAAATTGCTGGGCAACTCCTCGAACACTTGCACACGCACGGCGCGCGAGAAGTTGCCAGGAAAACAAGATGTGGAAAAGCTCAATCTACATCGGTGCAGGCAATGGTGGCCACACCACTGCAGGTCTTCATGGTAGCAGGGCGTGGCGGCGTACTTCCCATCCCCAACCACGGGAGCCCCAATGAAGGCCATGTGCAAGCGAATTTGGTGTCGGCGCCCCGTCATGATGTGCACCTGTGGGGGGAGGGAGCTGGTGCCTCTGTCGGGAATGATGTGGATGCAAAGAAGTGGCGGAGTTTTACACGTAGTTCATTAAGGTTGATGGTGCGATGTTCCTGTGACCACAAGTTGGGTCTCAGGATGTCACAGGTCGTGTTGGAGTTGATGATTCCTGATGATTCCTGATCTCACTCTCATGTGGTTTCAGAATACTTGCAAATGGCGATCCCTGCCAAACCCCCGTGCTAGTCTGCATCTGCATTCGAACGAAGCCTCTGCCACTCGCTCCGTTCCCAAAGAGGCGCCTTCACAAAGCTACAGCAGCTACTCCTCTCGCCACGGGCAGTTGTGTTGAAAGGACTCACCAGGTGCTTGAGAAGCTTCAATCGACTTCGGGCGCGCTTGCCGTAGGCCACCACGCTGGGTTTCTCGCTGAGGCGGCCCAACCAATGGACTGCTGACTCGACGGAGCGAGACGAAGGGATCCAACCTCACGGGATGCACGCAGCGCCCACGAGAAACGAGTGCTTCGAAGAAGAAAGGACCGGGTAGTTCCAGGGGCCGGGTGGATGGAAGTCCAAGGGAGCAGCTCTATTTCTGCAGATGTCGCTGTAGAAGCAGGGGTGTTTGGACTAGTTTCCTGGGTTGCTTGGGATTGATCAAGAAGAGTGAAGCTTACTGTAATGGTACCCCTACTTGGCATAACATTACATTACTTTACACTTGGCCTCCCTGTGCAATCCTGCAAAGGGGACCCCCCATTACGGCCATAGAATTCTGCAAAACATGACCATACAAAAAGCTGTTCAAGGATTGCATGCTTGGTAGGTTCCTCAAAATCCTCTAGCCAGCTCTCAGTTCAATTGTTTACATCGAGGAAGGATCCCAGAGCATTTCCCCAAAACAAAATCACAAATCCCCACGGGGGATCTGTGCACAATACAAAACCAGCACAAGATAAAGCTAATGCCATTTGATGATGCCAAATGCCCCTTCTGGAAACGCATTTGCAATTCACCGTTTCAAGCGCTTCCGTATATCAGTCCTCTCCGTCAACCAATTTAGAATGGCCAAGTCGCAATCCCAAATAAAGGAAGATTTACGTTTCACTGCGCGATCCCATGTACTACAAATGTTAAATTGCCAAGTTGCTTGTACTGTAAATTCCTACGACTGTATGTCCATTTATACGGCGATGCCATTTCCGTGTTTCCAAAAGGAAGACGCGAGCGTCTCGACTCGGCCAAGAGTCGGCCATTTCACCACGACTCCGGGGTGGGGGGCTGCTTAGCTTGGCATGCATTAGACCCTGGTGAAGCCTCTTGAGGAAAGGACACGACCACAACACGATGAAACGCTACGACTAGTGAGACCAATTTTGGTGGTAGGTCGTGAGGCCATGCGCAAGCGAATTGGTGCTGAAAAACTTCAAACTGTTGTCGGCTTGTTGGCAATTGTAACTTACAAAGGAGCAATCGAAAGTATCAACACTGAACACACAAGATTTCACATTAAATCAACATACTCATAAAGCATGACAAGAATCTACAATTGGCCCCCAGAACTGAGTTCAATGGCCGCACCCACCAAAACAGCCTGCCTATGGTTGCCTTGCTGAGGCACCATGCCCAAGCACCATGTAATCCCTTTGAATCTCACCCAGCGCCAGTTGCATCTTCAGGTCATAGAAGGCCCTGGGGCGGTCGAAAGAACTGAGAGCACTACAGTCACCGCAGCTGAAGCTAGTCATTGCATTTCATGGCTATTCTTCACCACCTTTCGATATCACACAGAGCTACCTTTTTTCTGAGGTCTGTCGCAGGGGCGGAAGTCCACGGTGCCAATATGCACTAGCCCTTCACATGGACAATGCGTGCCCTGCATGTCTATAGATTCTAGATGATCAAAAGGTTACCAACTGTGAATGGAGTTCTCCTGAACCACCACCTTGGAAAACATCCGACTGGATTTGGTGGTTGGCAGGGCGAATCAACTGCCCCTGGTTTGGTTCGGTGAGTGCTCCAGCTGGCTCAACAGCTCAACTGCTCGTCCAAAAATTCGGCCTCACATGGCGTGCCGCCAGGATCAGCCCGCTGCTGGGCACGTCCAGTCGATGGAGAAACCCGTTCTGCGGCAGCGGAGCCGCTCCGCGCCGCGGAGTCGCCACCGCGCGGAGGAGCTCTGAGAGGCGACGACCCGACGAGGCGTCGCTCGGGGGAGCGACCTCCTCGTAGTCCACCTGACGGACAAACGGACGGACGGGCGGCGGGAAATGGGTGCCATTGAAATGGATTGAAATGGTGTTCATATTCCGGTGGCCAACAAGCACTGAATGATTGCAAATGAGCTAAGTACAACTATTCCATACATTCCATATTATATACCCACCAAATGGAGGATGGGAATTGTGACTTGCTTTCTGCCCAATCTTGGCAGGGCAATGGCTCAAAGATGCTCAAAGACCTCCTGCACGTTGGCAACCCAACATCACTTCACCAATTCGGCTTTTTGATCTTCTCAGAGCCATGGTGAGACACCAGAGTTTGATTTCAGGGCCCCACCTGCCACCCTGGCGGCTTGGAAATGACCACCTGCGGCAAACGGCCCATAAGCTTTGGGATCTGCGAGTTCGTGACGAGGCGAATGCTGCGAGGCACTGCGAGGGGCGCGTTTCGGATAGTTTGGAGTCCAAGATGTCTGCCCGAGGCGGATGAAGCTGGCACCAACTAGGGGGGAACACAAAAGGTGAAAGGCACACTTGATTCACGAGTTGAGGAGGTGTGAGCCCACTTTGATGTTGATGGGCAAGACAGTCCTAGGAAACGACTTGAGGGGCAGGCTTCAACCACGACATCCCAAACGTTTCAGTTTCAGAGCCCAGCAGTTTCAGGAAGAAAGAAAACACCCCGAAGGAGTAGTGCGGAGCCTCTACTCTGATTAATTAATGACTGTAATTGAATACTCGTTGATGGTGTGAACTCACTCGAGGCATATGATTTGTCGGTGGGAACAATCATCTCGAGCAATAAAGGCTTGACCACAAACATATCTGAAACATTCCGAAACCACCACCACCCGGTATGAAGAGTTGGAGTCACTGGTCACTGGACTCCTTCAGGTGAGCGCATGCCGCACGCTTGCTCCCACCTGATCTGGAAAGATCTGCATGCCTGGGTCAACCTGGGAGCTTTTGGCCCAGCTCACCACTTCCACTGGGAAGAGCTGGGGCTCTAGGTTGAGCGCGTTCCACATGGCAAGCCAGACTGCCTGGGCGGCTGACCTGGATAAGGAGTCTGCAAAGGAGGAGGACCAGAAAACGGTGAAGGCAGCGGCTGCAAACTCCCCAAGAAGCTCTTCAAGCCTCAACTGACTGGCGACCTGGACCATCTGAACTTGTAGCTCCTGTATGGCCAATGGGGTTAAAGGGCTTGAAGGCAGCATGCTCAGAGACCATGCCAGAATAGCCCTCTCGTTGATGGTGAGCTGCTCCCCATCTGCCAATCGTTTCCACACCTCCGAAATCACCTGCGACCCAGAAGGCCTGGCAGGTGAAGCGGCAGCCCCAGTGGAGGCCATGGACCAGGCAAAAGCAACCAACTTGGAAAAGTCCAGGACTTCCAAGTTTCCACTTGGACTGAAAGACGTCACATCTCTCCCCCAAGCTTCCAAGGTCGATTCCGATTCCTGGCGCACGAAATCAAGTTCGCGCCAGGAACGGCGGCGTGTGCGGACCCCGAAGAACAAAGGCCATCGTGGACGCATTGAAACCAACTGCCCAACTGCGCCGGGCTTGAGGGGACAAAGATCGTTGAAAAATGGTTCAAGTTGTAACACTCCTGCCCATGAAAACGATCGAACCCTCAACGTCCTGAGCAAATGCACCTCTTCTGGCGCTTCTGGTCGGCACCAAACTCGTCAGCTTCGCTTGGCTCCAAGCATCTCCTCTCCAGTGACCAGCAGGTTCAACCCAGGTGCCCCCCGGTTCCCCGAAAGGATGCTCAGAAAGGAGTGTGGCAAGAAACATTCGACATGGAATAGGACCGCATCCTTTCAGGAGCGTGGACGATACTTTTCAATTGCAATTGATCCGCGTCTCTGTCTATGTGATCTTTGGCCCTTGGGGGGTGAACACCCCGGGAGGAGAAACACAAAAAGAACACCTGCGTAAACCAAGGGCCCACCATGGCGTCGAGAAAGAAACATCGACGCACAAGGCCAGGATCCACTTCCAAAGACTGTTTTCAAAAAGTCAAAATGTAGCCCTGCTTCATCTTTCTCCTGTGGCAGTTCCTTCAAGTGAAACCTTTTTCATCCTTTTTCAGAATATATACATCCGTTGGACTTTCTTTGATGCTCGGGAAGAAAAATGCCTGGACATTCCTGGAAAGAAAGCAGAACTGACTATATAATATATGTGTATATACATCCGTGTGAAATTGGCTTGGTAGAAGCTTAAACCCAAAACGTATGAAAACTCACAATAATTGTTGGGGAACCTTTTCTCAGACTAGAAACAAAGGGCATCACTACTAGGAGCAAGGGCGCTACTAGTAGCTCCTGGCATCGCTACTAGGAGCAAGGACTCTACTAGTAGCTCCTGGCATCGCTACTGGGAGCAAGGACTCTACTAGTAGCTCCTGGCATTGCTACTAGGAGCAAGGACGCTACTAGTAGCTCCTGGCAACGCTACTAGGAGCAAGGACGCTATTAGTAGCTCCTGGCATCGCTACTAGGAGCAAGGACTCTACTAGTAGCTCCTGGCATCGCTACTAGGAGCAAGGACGCTACTAGTAGCTCCTGGCATCGCTACTAGGAGCAAGGACGCTACTAGTAGCTCCAGGCATCGCTACTAGGAGCAAGGACGCTACTAGTAGCTCCTGGCATCGCCACTAAGAGCAAGGACGCTATATAGTAGCTCCTGGCATCGCTACTAGGAGCAAGGACGCTACTAGTAGCTCCTGGCATCGCTACTAGGAGCAAGGACGCTACTAGTAGCTACTGGCATCGCTGCTAGGAGCAAGGACGCTACTAGTAGCTCCTGGCATCGCTACTAGGAG